CTAACTTTAATAATTCAACAAATTATGTTGTAATTACTATTTTTACGTGCATTTTGACCTTATATCACTGCTGACAATTCAATAGAAACCTGCCTGTGTGGTTTTAGGAAACTTCATTACTTTTAATGTGGATCAGACGCAGTCGATATCTGTCCAGCAGATGGCGCTGAACGTGAATGTTTTGAGCAATACATCCAGCCCAGTGGATGTCCCTGTTGATGATGTGAGGGTGAGATTGACAAACACTGAATAAAGTTTCATTCTGCTTTTAGTAGTCCACACAGTGGTCAGATTTAATCATTAAAAAGGTCTAAAATACCTTTTAGACTTCAAAGACAAACTTGTCATTAACCACATGGAAATATTTATCTAGAGCTGAACTCAGAATATGTGTGTAGGCCCTTATGAAGTTATTGTAATAAAGCCACCATTTATTTATTGTAATAAAAATACTAATGAACAATCCCAAATGTTCACTTAAGAATAATTTGCTCCTGCTTCAGTTTAGATGAATTCTTGTCTTAATGTATGCAAAAGCCAAGCTGAATGAAACTAACCCAATACTGTGTGAAGGGTCTCCTTATATTTACTACTGAGCAGTAAGCTGAAAATCAAAACAACTTGCCAATAAATTAAGTCCTGCAGATGCTGTGTTTAATATTCATCAACAAGTGTGAAACTAAAATATCACACAAACCATCTTGTGTTTTATTATCAAAGTAATGTTTTAGGTTAGAGGTCATCAATCTCGGTCCTGGAGGGCCGGTGTCCCGGCAGAGTTTAGCTCCAACTTGCCTCAACACACCTGCCTGGGTGTAGTTGGCTAGCTAGTAAGACCTTGATTAACTTGTTCAGGTGTGTTTGATTAGAGTTGGAGCTAAAATTTGCAGGAGACCAGCAAGTTTGGTGACCCGTGTTTTAGGTTTTATCTTAAAATCTATGATGTTTAATGTAAAACACTATTCTGATGTCCCATCTGCTTATGCTGACATGTAAGTCCAACCATAAAATCAGCTATTGTTGCTTTAAAGATTAGGGTGTTGTTGCAATAAGAACTGACGTCTAGAACAGTCTTCTCAAATTCCTGGAGGTCCACAACTCTGCACAGTTCAGCTCCAACTCACACCGGCTGAATAGTCTCGAGTAGTCTTGAGCACCTTGATTAGCTGGATCAGCTCTGTTTGATTAGGGTTGGAGCAAAACTGTGCAGAACTACAGGAATCCAGTTTGGCAAGTTCAGACCTTGGTCTAAAATATCTAAAGGAAGTGTAACTTCCAAACCCACGTGTTTGTTAATACATTTTAACTTTAAGACTAGTAATTACTTCCTTTTGCTGTTTAAAATGACACAGGTAATGCTCTTCCAGACTAGAAACAGATTTTAACATTGACATCTTTTAAACACTAATAGACTTGTGCATAGATGATCATATACGATGCATTTAAAGAATTTGAGAAATGTATGCTCATGTGCCTGCCTGCAAGAGAAATGGTGAGCAGTTTAAGGACAGCTAGGTGATCTCTGAAATCATATTAGAATGTGTAATGCATTGTGGCTTTGAAACTGTTTAGGCAGCAAACGATATGTTCATTTAGCTTCTTTAGAAACATCTAGCACAGTGGTTCTCAAACTATTCTCACCTCAGAAGTACCACCTCAGAAAAAAATGGTCTCTCCATGTACCACCATGCTGACCAGAATAGTAAAGTAAAGTAAAGTAGCGTATAGTAGGCTAAATTACGCATGTAGAGCACTGCAGGGTGCAAATACCAGGCATATTAACTCCTATTCCTTTAAGTATATGTATTATTGTCAGCCACTTTAAACATTATAAATAGTTTGAATATTAACTGCGCCTGCAGGTAAAAGCAAAAAAAAAAAAAAAAAAAAAAAAAAAAAAAATTTTCAACGTTTAAATTAAAATGTGCTTTTAAAAGTTAACTATATTATTACAGTTTGTCGAGACAAACTTTGAGGCTGGCTTGACAAAACCTGTTGGTAATAGTTTATTTCATTTAAACAGTTTAAAAAAAGTAAAAAAGTATGTAAGGATAGAGAGAAAGAAAGAAAAGCTGAAAGACAGACAGACAGATGGATATATGGATGGATGGATAGGTGGGTGGATGGATGGGCGAAAGAAAGAAAAATTAAAAAGAGTCAGACAGACAGATAGATGGATGAATGGATGGATGGGTGGGCGAAAGAAAGAAAAGCTGAAAGACAGACAGACAGACAGACAGACAGATGGATATATGGATGGATGAATGAACGAATGGATGGATGGATGGATAGGTGGGTGGATGGGCGAAAGAAAGAACAATTGAAAGACAGACAGACAGATAGATGGATGAATGGATGGATAGGTGGGTGGATGGATGGGCGAAAGAAAGAAAAAAACTGAAAGACAGACAGACATATACAGTAGATAAGGTATAACAGTTTGAAAAAGTATAGATAGTAAGAGCTCACAAAGTTTGATCCAATGTTAAGTCAATGACAGCCTTTTGCAATTAAAGTCTAAAGTCTGTTTGACACACCAGCCTAATTTAAAATGGCGCTGTTCTAAAAAAGTCAGGAGAAAACTGCTGTACTTTAATGTAAAGTATTAACTTAGTAGCCTATTCATTTAAACCAGGAAATGTCGCTTGGGTATTATAAATATAGGCTATATGTCATATTCATACTTATACAATTTTTGATACCTTTTGAAATATATTTTGCATGTTCATGACATATTTGTTCAACTTTCTGAAATCGAAACATTAACTTGTATGTATGTTGCTAGGGAGCCTGTTTTTTTTTTTTTAGAGGATGTCAAGCTGACAGAACTTGTATCAGAGTGCAGCAATGTTTTATTTATGGAGAAAATTAAAAAGCACTGCAGTGTTTGTCTGAGATAATCAGACTGACGAAATTGTATTCCATATAAAATATGAAGCTGATCAGTCGGTTATTGTCACGTGATTCGCAGTACGGTCGGCAACTCCGCACGCCTGGAATAAGCAAGTGCATCGCACTGCTTGCACCTTCATTATACAGTTGAAGTCAGAAATATTAGCCCCCATGTTTATTTTCCCCCAATTTCCGTTTAAAGAAGAGATTTTTTTCAACACATTTCTAAACATAATCGTTTTAGTAACTCATTTTTAATAACTGATTTATTTTATCTGTGTCATGATGACAGTAAATAATGTTTGACTAGATATTTTTCAAGACACTTCTAAACAGCTTAGTGACATCTACAGGCTCAACAAGGTTAATTAGGTTAACTAGGCAGGCTAAAGTAATTAGGCAAGTTATTGTAGAGCGATGGTTTGTTCTGTAGACTATAGAAAAATATATAGCTTAAAGGGGCTAATCATTCTGACCTTAAAAAGGTTCATAAAAAAAAAAAATCAAAAACTGCTTTTATTCTAGCCGAAATAAAACAAATTAGACCGTCTCCAGAAGAAAAAGTATGATCAGACCTACTGTGAAAGTTTCCTTGCTCTGCTAAACATCATTTGGGAAATATCTAAAAAATAAAAAAATGATTCAAAGGGGGGCTAATAATTCTGACTTCAACTATAAATAATGAACTTGCGTGTGAAAATGGTGCGATATGTGAACAGTCGCCATCATTTGTGATCTACAGCAGTTGATCATTTCGTTGACCGGTGCCGGTCTGTGGCCTGGGGACCACTGCTTTAGCGTGTATCTGCCTCTTTCTCCAGTTCTGCGTTAACTGGATGGATTTTTAGCAGCTGATGACGTGATTCACTAAAGTAAACATTCTAAGTACAGCTCTTTGATCGTAGGCTTTAGAGAACAGCCAATGTTCATCACATCGGCGTTATCGTACGCATCAAATGATTAAAACTATATACATTTTCTCTTTCATTACTCAGGAATCCCTCCACGTACCACTAGATGTAAGCTCGCGTACCACAGTTTGAGAACCACCGATCTAGCAAATCGTCTATTAGACCTTTAAGAACCACCATCACTGAAAGAGCAACTACATTTTCCTTTATAGTTTGATTTGGGCCAAAAAAACAGAGTTAGCCTTGTGAAAAGGATGTGTGTGTGTGTGTGTGTGTGTGTGTGTGTGTGTGTGTGTGTGTGTGTGTGTGTGTGTGTGTGTGTGTGCAGGTGTGTGCCACTCAGACAGTGTTACACTCTTCTTTTACTGCTGTAATTTGAATCTTTGTACAAAATGTACAGTAAGTGTGAGAGACATGGAAAAAAAAGCAACATATACACTGAAAACACTTCTTATAGAGACAGAGTCAGGCAAGGGGGCGTTTGGTACTCAAATCTCACTCACTTATTGCTGCAGCGAGTCTGAACTAGAAAATAAAAAAAGTAAACATACTAAAATGTCATAGCTTAACATCTCCCCCCACCCCAATCCCACACCCATAACCAAATATGATATTTATATAGAATAACATTTGTATTAAATGTTATTTTATATATATATATATATATATATATATATATATATATATATATATATATATATATATATATATATATATATATATATATATATAAAACGGCTGTACCACATTTTGCAGAAAACACAACCGGATCAAACCGGTTCAACGTTAGAGTTTTGATTCAAATTATGGCCTTTTGGGAAAAAAAAAACAATAGTAGTATAAAATGACAAATAAATAAAACAAAAATAAATACTTTGTTTGTGTAACAAAGTGGACCATTAGAGCACCAAAAGCTGGCCCCTGCTTTCATGTGACTGGGTAGCAGGACAGGAAGTGTGGTACAGAGAGGGTTACAATTGGTCATTGTCCGGTGATGGGCGGCCTCTTTTTGTTAGTATGTCAGTTTGTAGAGCAGCTTTTTTTCTTTTCTTTTTTCTTTTTTCGTCTTTTTTTTATAAAGAAATAAACATGAATACCATGGGAGGGGGGGATATGAACCCAATATCTGACTGTGCAGCTATCAAAACAATTTGTACACTTAATACATCGACAGATTTGCTGTCTTTTTCACTCTTCTTTTTTTTTTAGCAAAGGAATTTGGTTTTTTTACGAAGAGACAAGCAATGTTTTTGCATTTGGATTTTCTCCTTTAACAGAGTTAAAGCTAAAAAAAAAAAAAAGAAACAAAGAAAACAAAAAAAAAAAGCCCCACACCCTGCCTCGAAAATAGACTATTGTTGACACTGACCCAAAAAAGGCAAAGAAAACCTGTAAAAAGCAAACACATATATATAAATAATATATTTACACTTATAAATATATATTTATATATACTGTATATAATGTTTCTTGCTTTGTACTACACAGCATCAGGCGTCTCGCCTTGAATCCTAAAACATAAACCAGAGGCAGGTTAAACGAATGAAAATAAAAGAGCAGAGGGGGGATGCGACAGACAGCATCTCCCCCAAACTCCACTGATAAGCAGTGCCAGTAAAAGTCACGCTCAGTTGCCGATCTGACACCGGTTTCATTCTAGAGTTGTACAGGGAGGCCTGGATCGGCGCAAGGAGGGGAGGAGGGCGGGCGACGTCCACCCAGAGTCTGATGAGCAAACAGGCGATCGGGGAGTGGGTCGAGGGGGGGGGTCAGAGTTCAAGGGAATCGACAGAGGCAGGGCAGAGCCAAACAGCGCAATGAAACATATCTTACTTACATCTTAGCTCATTTTACACGTACAGTCGTGATCAAGGCACAGGGAGCTTCTACAAGTTACTTTTTTCTTCAATAAAGTTGTACAAAATAATACATTTTACAGTCTGTACAAGAATAATGATCCAGCAGAGAAATCAAAAGACAGACCAAAAGCCAGGCTAAAGGGGAGGAGAGGAAGTCGGAGGGGAGGAAAGGGGGAAGAGAAAGAGAGAGAGAGAGCGACTAGGCCATCCGTTAGACATCCTTCTCATGTCTCGCGTCATTACTCTGTCTTACCCTCAGTCTGATGAAGTCCCCACGTGTCAGTGTACAAGGTTTTTGCAGTAGGGAGGAGACAGAGAGAAAGATAAGGAGAAGAGAAAGAACAGGAGAGGGAGGAATGACACAGGAGAGAGCAACCAGGAAAACAAGAGGTTTAAAATGGTGCTTATTTGCACACAGCAACACACAAACTGGGGAAACTAACGAAAAAAAGGTTGTATTATTACAGGAATATATATATATATATATATATATATATATATATATATATATATATATATATAAAGTTTGGATTTTTTGCACTGCATTTAGTTCACTGTTCTGCATGAATCTAGCATTGCATGCGCTCGCCTCTCCTGCGATGCATCTTGAGAAGCGAGTCATGTGATGGGTCTTGTGTTCAAGTCATTCTCTGCTCCACACGCAAAGCAACCCGGAGCAGTAAAAGCTCCAAACCCTCTAGGTTTGTTGGGGCGGGGAGGATACATTTTTGCTCTACATTCTGTTTTTCTTTTGTTTGTTTGTTAGTTGTTGTTTTAAATGTATGGTCCATGGTTTTGCTCTCAACCAAGGGGGGGAGGGGGGGACCGACCCCACCTTGTGGGATGGGGGAAAAAGGGGGAAAAGGTGAAAGGGACACACCAGGCTCGCACAGAGGCACTACACGTTCAACAGGACCAAAATGGTGGAGGATAAGAATAGCGTGTGTATGTCTTGTGCGTGCGCATCAATATAAGTAACGTGTGTTTAGGCATATGACTGGAAAAAAGACAAGTTTGACATGTAACATACATAGGACTGCGGGTCAGGAGTTTAGCTGGACGCATTATGTGTCTGCATGTGTACGAAATGGCTTCCTTGTCCTGAGCAGTCCCGGACAGTTTTTTTTTTTTTCTTCCCTCTTTTCGCCCCCCCCTCCCTCTCCCTCTCACATGTTTTGTTTTCCTCTCTCTCTTTATTAACATCGGTAGTCCTTGGCTGTGTTAACAAGTCTTTTTGCCAGATATCACAGCCACGCTTTCATCAGTAACACAGTGCGTCCCCTTGCCCCAGCCCCTAGTCACTCAGGATGGAGAAAGGCCATGTGTGTGTGTTTGTGTGCGTGTGTGAGTGTCTGTATGTATATATATATATGTGAATATATATACATACGCATATGTATATATCTATATAATATGCATGTGTGTGTAAGAGGTGGGGACTCATCAGTTTGAAGGTTCGTGGTTTTGAAATTGGGGCGTGATGTAGGGCAGGGGGGCCTAAAGAAAGTTCAGGTGGTGAGTTTGCGTCCTGTCATCCCTGCTGCGATCACAAGAGTTCGTACTGTCGTAGGTGCATGCGCTGGATGATGTCTCTGCAGTCGTTAAACACTCGGCGGATGTTTTCCGTGTCCACGGCGCAGGTGAAGTGGGGGTAGCAGTAATGCCGGCCATCTCCACTCGCTGTACTGATCCTCTGAATAGACAAAGCAATACCTCATCAGGATTAAATCAGTTCAAATGAAAGACAAAGAAACTATCTACTAAAGTCAACATCCTTGAGTTTTAGATATATATGAGCGGAGAGGTTTTGAAGTGTCTTTTGCTCACTAAAATACTATAAAAGCAGTAATTCTACGACTAATTTTTTCTCCTCAGTGTTTCGTAGTCATGTTAAAGGTCCCGTGACATTAAAATAACGTTTTATAGATGTTAGTATAAGTATTCTTCGTATTTTAGTAGGCATCCTCCGATCGCTATTGACAGACAATCACATTTCATGACTCAATTGGTACTCGCCAATCTGGCCCATTTCATAAACCGATCCCAGGTGTTTATGAGTTTTTAAGCAGAGGAAGGCACACAAGCGCTCCTGTATATTAAACATTGCCTAAGCCAAAGCTGAACGAATTGTTTTTTGTTAAGCTGTTCTGAACAAGATAGATAGACAGACTGATAGAAAGATAGAATAATGGATGGAAAGACAGAACTAAGATAGATAGATAGATAGATAGATAGATAGATAGATAGATAGATAGATAGATAGATAGATAGATAGATAGATAGATAGATAGATAGATAGATAGATAGATAGATAGATAGATAGATAGATAGATAGATAGATATAACAATTGATGGAAAGACAGAACTAAGACAGACAGACAGACAGACAGACAGACAGACAGACAGACAGACAGACAGACAGACAGACAGACAGACAGATAGATAGATAGATAGATAGATAGATAGATAGATAGATAGATAGATAGATAGATAGATAGATAGATAGATAGAACAATGGATTGAAAGACAGAACTAAGATAGACAGACAGACAGACAGACAGACAGACAGACAGACAGACAGACAGACAGATAGATAGATAGATAGATAGATAGATAGATAGATAGATAGATAGATAGATAGATAGATAGATAGATAGATAGATAGATAGATAGATAGAACAATGGATTGAAAGACAGAACTAAGATAGACAGACAGACAGACAGACAGACAGACAGACAGACAGACAGACAGACAGATAGATAGATAGATAGATAGATAGATAGATAGATAGATAGATAGATAGATAGATAGATAGAACAATGGATGGAAAGACAGAACTAAGATAGACAGACAGACAGACAGACAGACAGACAGATAGATAGATAGACAGACAGACAGACAGACAGACAGATAGACAGATACAGACAGACAGATCAATGGATGGAAAGACAGAACTAAGACAGACAGACAGACAAATAGAGCAGAGGAAGATGCACATGCGCTCCTGTATATTAAACACTGCCTAAGCCAAAGCTGAATGAATTGTTTTCTGTAAAGCTGTTCTGAACATGACACATTCACACCTAAATAGTTATAAGAGACGTGTTTAAGGTATTACATGGAGTATCCTTCATTTATTCTCTTAATTAAGGCAAGATCTTCCCTTAAGGTTCATACTGAATTGCTTAATGCATTATAAAGCTTTGGAATCAGTACTCTGTGTCGGCCGATCACTATGACAAAGAATCGGTACTTGCGAACGGCTGCAAAAATCCTGATCTGAGCATCCATATTTTATCGGATATCTATGAGCTACTGTGCTCTAAAACAGTGACAAATTTCACGTTTAGAAGATATACAACTGATATAAACATGTAAAGCTTTCAGTTTGTTGCTTCCGCCTAAATGGATCAACGGTTTTATTCACGTCAACCCATTCTAGTTTTTCATCACATCATAACCAATCAAATGCTCTTTAGTATCTGGCATGCCCCGCCCCTTTAAGACGCTTCTCATTTGCTTTTCATTTGATGTGCTTGAGCTGGCAGAGCTGTGATAAACACAACGCTATGTCACACATCCAATAAAAATGCACATTCCAAAGCACTTTTTGACTCATATTGCGATTTCGATTTGATTTGCGATTTAATTTTGTAGTCAAGCTTCAGCTCAATAACCTGTATCGTAGCTTCTTACTGCTAAAATGCAGTGAGTGTTAGTTAAAAAAAGGAACTGAAAAGATGTTTACTAAGACATTTATTTACTTTTGTTTTTAAATATTCAGAAATTAAAAAAAAATAATTTAGAAATAAGAAAGATAAATATTTTTCTCTTGAGCCACAAATAAAATGACCTTACCTTTCTGTAAACAAGTTGAACTTAAATTAGGGAGATAGTGTAGCTTATTATACTATCAAAAAATAATAACTATAAAAATAGAGAACACTCAGCAAACAAACATGGCTGAAACAACTCTGAAATTATTATTATTATTTTTTTAGTTTGTTTACACAATTCTGATTGGGCAGAACGAAAGTGTCCTCACTCGATTGGCTAGTAAGACTGTTACACACAGACGGCAGTTACGCATTTGCTCTGGCCGAGAGGAATGAAATAATCTTTCATATCGCAGCTTCTTGCGATTAGCTAATTGCAATGTTTTAAATTGCGATTAGATTTCAGTTAATCACACAGTTCTACGTCATAAAAAACCCAATATAAATACTTTACACATTTTTTTTTTTTTACAATAGCTAAGGGTAAACAAAAAAATTCAAAAACCCTCAGTCCCCCATCCCACCCCAAGGAGGAGAATTAAAAACACACACACACACACACACACACACACACAACAACGTTAGCACCTACAAGAATTGTCAAAGCAACTAAATAAATATACATAAAATATAAATAACACACGCACACATGAATAAAAAAGGCAGAGATCTGTCTTGAAAGAAAAAAATAAAAATAGAAATCTTATTAATCAGTGAAGAGTTGCGTTGTATTCCTGACAAAATTAATTTGAGGATCCCAGTTTTCTAAAATTTTTCAGTGGAACCTCTTAATGTCAACCTAATTTTTTCAATATATAGAAAAGACATCAAATCTTCAAACCATGAGAAAGGGTTCCAAGAACGGCATAATTTATTTAAAATCCGTAAAGTATTAACGTCTCTAAAGGAAATCAAACAAATCACTGATTAATATATAGGTTGTATTTTCCTCAACTGCCACAATTAAATACATAGAGTGTTGCATAATGATTTTTGTCTCACAGAGAACAACCAGACTCACCAAGAACTCGTCTCGGATGAAATATTTTGCTCTCGTAACTCTTGGATCTTCCCCTTGCTCTGGTGTTGCTGTTGGAAATAAAAGCAGAGGTTTCTTAACTATAACACAGACTTTGATTTCCTAGTTTATGAGTTCACTATGCAATTCAATTAGGGTTAATACAAGAACGTGTACTAGGCATGGGACGATAGCAGTTGGTATTTATGCAATACCATCATTCCTACTGTTAGGGTTAGTTTATTTATTTAGGGTGAGTTTATTTATTTATTTATTTATTTTTGACATTTTTTTGTTTAAGTTTTTTAGGACAACAGTATGCCCATCAGAAAAGATATTCAAAGATTTTACTTTAAATGGTAAAGAAATCATTGTTTTTGAAACTAATGAAGCAGCAGAAGTCAATGATTTGTTTGAATGATTTAGCCCGATATGTTTACTGCTCCAAAATACTTTAAATATTTCTCAAAATTGTGTTTAAAAGGGAAAACAAGTGTAAGTTTTTTACTCAGACATTTAAAAATGATATATTTTAGAGCAGTAATCACAATACGGTAAAACCTCGATGATTTTATCCAAAGTTATTATACTGTCAGAATCTTAAACCGGTCCATGCCTATTGTGTACTCAATTAAACTACATGAACAATTTTTTTTTCACTGACCATCATCTGGTGTAGTGTAGCGTGCAAACTCTGGGAAATAATCCTCAATTTTTGATTTTCCCGCCAAAACCTTCTCAGCCAGCAAATCCTGCTTATTTAGGAACAGAATGACAGAAATGGTTCGAAGCCACCTGAAAAGAGAAGAAGAGAAATGATGAGGAAATCTAGAAAAAGATCATCGGAACACTTAAGAACACCTTCATCAAGCCTTCTAGTTCTCTACGTGTGTGAGCGTGTTTAAAAAGGTACCTGTTATTCCAGATGTTCTTGAACAGGTTAAGTGCCTCCTGGAGTCTGTTGGTCTGATTGTCCTCTCTGAGCACCATGTTATAACTGCTGCTGGCTACCACGAAAATGATGGCTGTCACGTCTGTAACAAAGAAAACAAGTTTTTTTTTCAGCATTCACTTTGAACTAGCATGCAAACAAACTATTCTATAATTATTTCTTGATTGCAATAAATTAATACTAATTAATAAGAAAATGTATTAGCCAGGTTAATAACATTTGTGCTGATTCTGTGAACATAGATACAGTGCTCAGCATAATTAAGTATACCCCATTTGAAAGTTAACATTTTAATCTCAGTGAATATAGGCAATTTATTTTGGTACAATTGAACAAAACAGATTTATTAAATGGATATATTTATTAAAATAATATTTTAGTCACTAAACCCATTTAGAAATAGAAAAAAATACAGTTAAATTCAAGAAATAAAGTTACAACCTACAAAATTTTTCAATTATTTTGCTTCTCTTGATTTTTTCTCTTTTTTTAAATCTGTATTTAACATTTTTCTATAACATATACGATTGGGTGTGCTAGTTTTTGGACCGTTATCGTAAGTTACTTAATAGATAAGCTCCAGATTTGGCTTCAGTACTGACAAATCTAATTTATATACACAAATATAATATTGCAGAACTTCCTATTAAAAATATGAAGAAAAAAAAAGATTTGTGAGGGGTGCACTTGTATATGCTAAGCACTGTGGATGGATGGATGGATGGATGGATGGATGGATGGATAGATGGATAGATAGATGGATAGATGGATAGATGGATAGATGGATAGATGGATAGATAGATAGATAGATAGATAGATAGATAGATAGATAGATAGATAGATAGATAGATAGATAGATAGATAGATAGATGGATAAAGACAGACAGGTAGATGGATGGATGGATGGATGGATGGAATGGATGGAAAAACAGAACTAAAATAGATAGATAAATAGATACATTTACAGACAGACAGATTAGACAGATTAGATAGATAGATAGATAGACAGACAGACAGACAGACAGACAGACAGACAGACAGACACACAGACAGACAGACAGACAGACAGATAGATAGATAGATAGATAGATTGCCGGATGGATGGATGGACGGATGGATTAGATAGATAGATCTTAGTATATTAGATGTGTTACTAATTTACTTCTATTAGTGTAACTATTTTACTAAACATCTACAGCACTAGTCATTACATTTAATCACCAGTCATCTGATTTAATCTTCCCTATGATATCAGCATTTAAAACCATATCGATGAAGTAATAAAAAACAAAATGGAACAAAACTGCACTTAATCTTCCCTTTGATATCAGATTTCATCTAGATGGATTAACGTAATAAAAAGGAATAAAAACTAAACGTAACTAAATGCATTTAATCTTCCCTAACATATTGATGGAGCAATAAAGTAATAAAAAAACAAATAAAAACTACATGTAACGCAAAATAAAACATGCACAACATATACCATTGAAACACTGGATCCATTTCCTGCGTTCATCTCTCTGTCCGCCAACATCGAACATACTGGACAAAATAACACAATGCATTAGTCAGGCCACAAACATGTTTACATCAAGCACTTATTACTGATGTGCAACTTAAAAAGGAGAATAAGATGGCTTGTTGCTAGACAGGATATGGTTGAGGCCGGAAGTGAGCCAGAATTATTTATAATATTTATTACATTTCACATTTATTGTATTTTTTATTAGCACTCACCCCAACTCTAAACCCAACCGTCACAGTACTGTAAAATATTAATTATTATTATACAGTGTCATAAAAAATGATCTATAATTGATGTCCATATCGCACTTCCGACCGGCCGCATATCCGATCTAGACTTTACCAACAACAAGCTGTCGACTGTGCTTATGTCTGTGTTACTGTCCTATTGCATTTTGTTTTATAGTTCTGTGAAGTTTTAATAATCTGTGAAAAGCCTCCTGGTTAAACTCACTGAAAATTAACTTTATCCACTTGGAATCTTGTCTCAAAGATCCCTGAAGTCAGAACTCTGCATCTGAGCAAGTCCTAAAGAGGAAGACGACAAAGGTAGGAGTCACAAACACAATAAATGACATCAGACACTATAATATCATTAGACCAAAGATATAAGACTAAATACTATCATGTTCGAATTCCAGCATGGGGGAATTTTTGCTGAATCTTTACAAACCTGATCAGTGGGAGTATAGTCACTTTGTTTCACAGTGTCAATCCTGTCCAGGAAACTGAAAAGAGAGAAAATTATATTAGTAACTTCCCAATATTTAATCATCTCTACCTCAGAATCAATAAAGTAAGACTGATATGTTGTTTGTGAAACTAGAAATAAACACTTAATAGACATCATTAAACATGTACACCTACAGTTGAAGTCAGAATTATTAGCCCCCTTTTGATTATTTTTTTCCTTTTTTAATATTTCCCAAATGATGTTTAACAGAGCAAGGAAATTTTCACAGTATGTCTGATAATATTTTTTCTTCTGGAGAAAGTCTTATTTGTTTTATTTTGGCTAGAATAAAAGCAGTTTTTAATTTTTTTTAAAAACAATTTTGGGACAAAATTATTAGCCCCTTTAAGCTATTTTTTTTTCCGATAGTCTACAGTACAAACCATCGCTAATCAATAACTTGCCTAATCACCCTAACCTGCCTAGTTCACTTTATTAACCTAGTTAAGCCTTTAAATGTCACTTTAAGCTGTATAGAAGTGTCTTGAAAAATATCAACTAAAATATTAATTACTGTCATCATGGCAAAGATAAAATAAATCAGTTATTAGAAATAGGTTTCTAAAACTATTATGCTTAGAAATGTGCTCAAACAATCTTCCCCTCATTAAACAGAAATTGGGGAAAAAATAAACAGGGGCGCTAATAAGTCAGGGGGGCTAATAATTCTAACTTCAACTGTATATGTAGGTCCACACGGAATCTGTGTGCGCCAATCATTAATTCTGTTTATTTACTTGAGTAAATGTGTGTAAATCTATATTTATTTAGTTTTTAAATTATTTGCAGTAATATTATTGACTAATGTGAAAATGTGCATCTGATTTACAGTTTGTACAGTAATATTTTCTGTCTTTTAGTAGAGATTTTATACGACACTTCCTTTGTTTACCAAATAAAGTGAATCTAATTCGATTTGCATTTTAAACATTAAATAAAAGTTAAAAATATATGGTCACACTTTACAATAAGGTTCATTAGTTAATGTTAATTATTGCATTTACTAACATGAACAAACAATGAACAATACATTTACTACTGTATATGTTCATGTCTGTTAACGTTGGTTTATGAAAATACAGTAGTTCATTGTTAGTTCATGTTAACTCATGGTGCATTAACTAATGTTAACAAGCATGGACTTGGATGTTAATAATGCATTAGTAAATGTTCAATTATGATTAATAAATGCTGTACGTGTGTTGGTTATGATTAGTTCATGTTAGTAAATGCATTAACTAATGAACCTTATTGTAAAGTGTTACCAAATATATTATTTTTTTTTATTTGAACATATTAAGGTTTTAGTTATGATACTTTCAAAGTAATTCCACAGAAATCTGCAGATTTTTACCAAAATTCTCAGCAGAAATAGCAAAAAGCGTCTGCAGATTCCGTCTGGCCCTTCCTATATGCTATAAAACTGCAGGCTAACCATGCTTGTATATAACAACTTATATTTGATTTAGGCATGGGACGATAACCGTTTTCAAGGTATACCACGGTTTGAAAAAGTCAAGGTTTTAAATCCGCCAAAAATTTTCTGCTATACCGTTCCTAAGGTATGTGCACATTTTTTTTAAATTTACGTTGTTTTTTGTCGTTTTTTAGTACAACAGTATCTCCAGGTGAAAAGATATCCAAAGATGCCGTTTTAAATAGTAAAGAAATCTGAGTTTTTGTTACTAATAAAGACAGCAGACGTCAGTAATTCATTTAGCTACTGTTCCAAAATATTTTAAATGTCTCAAAAATAAAATAAATTGTGTTCAAAATTAAAAAAGCTTTTGTTTTTTTACGCAGACATTTTAAAAAGGATATATTTTTGAGCAGTTATCACAATACCGCAAAACCGTGATATTTTTTATCCAAGGTTATCATACTGTCAGAATCTTAAACCTGCCTAATTGATTGTAGCTTTAATTTAATTTGACTGTAATGCAATAATGTGCACCTTTTGTAAAGCTGCTTTGAAACAATAATTGTAAAAAGTGCTGCACAAATAAACTTGAATTGTTTTGAAACACGCAATAATACAAATATATTTAATTTAAATGATTTAGGAGAAGGAATAATAATATCTACAACCCAAAGTTCAGCCATTTCCGAACAAGCAACTTACATCTGGAAAGCAAGCACAAATAAAAAGCACCACCACATGACTTCTACATATATACAAACAATCCTATACTGTTGTGTTGGTGTCCATAGTGTGATAAGCTCATCCAACCTTTCATTTGAATCCGAAAAGCTTGAAAAACCCAGCACACTCTTTAATAAAGCTAAATCCTGCATTTACACAATGCCAACAAGCCTCAGCGAAAGTTTCACACACAAATTTTTCAAATGGCAGCTGACACAATCTGCAGCTGCGGCATCAGCCAGCAGGTGGCGCATGTTTGTGTTGCAGATCAAAGCAGGCAGGGTTCTGAGTCATAGTGATCAGAGAGCTCTCAGTCAGACGCTGCTCTAGTCAATGGATCGGCTCTAGTGGGAGGAAACAGAGGGGAAGAGAGGGCAAAACAGAGGGAGGGAGGGGGAATCAAGAAACGCTGTCTTAGTCGAGCTGCTATCTGACGAAACGGCTGCAAGATGGTGGTACGCCTCAAACTCGCCTCTTGGTTCTTCGCGCATGGAGATCTTAGAGACACACATCGGAAATAATCAAGCAAAAAAGCATAGATGATGGCAATCAATGCCCAAGCAAAACGCTTCTCATTCAGAATTGGCTCCTGATTTTTTTTTTAAGAAACATCACAGAGGCTTGCATATTATTCAAATGAGGCCATATTTATTTTCCTAGCACACGCTGGCTACAGTTACATGGACATCGGTAATCTAATTATTTACCTTAATCTGAATAATAAAATATGATTAAGATGTTACTTGAGAATATTTGTTAATAGCAGGAGTTACGATCTAAAAATAGCCCGCAATAGGTGAAGTCCGTGAAGTAGTCGGCTTTATTTTTTACAATAATTATAGATGTTTTAAGGCTGTGAAACCCTTCACTACACTCTTTTCCCAGATAGGCCATAACATTTTCACACTTTTCTCTTTTAAACACTCACGTTACTTCTACCTTCCTTTAGCATGTCCAGAAGTCCAACGTTTTGTGCGATTGTTAGCAGCTAACTTTGCCTTTTGGGTGCCTTTGACGTGCAGAATGTTTGGTCAGCATTGTGAGGTTTGTTGGGGAGAAAACTTGCAAACATACAAGTCCAGCACTTCAGAGGCACACTGCTAGAAATCGAAGATTCATGTGAATTTGTAAACTGAACGCATTCTGTACTGTACAGGAGACATGGAACGGAAGAGATTGATTGACAATGGTCTACAGCCAATCAGGACGCAGAACACAATGCGCTGTAGAAAAAAAACATGTCAAAGTGCACTAAAAAATCTGCGAGACTGAGGGACCACTGTACATAGTTTGATTAACGTCATTACGTCACCATTTGATGCTAGTTTTCTCCAGCGTTTCACGCAACAATTCATGTTGGTCATGGCACCGAACATGAAAAAATAATCAACTGTGATTTTCAGCTTTTCCATTTTCGTTTAACTGCAATTAATTTCTCACACTATGCGTGCAAACAAACAAAAGCAGATACAAATTCAAGCAACAGGCAACTTGGGCCAATTCATTCACGTTTCATTCATGCCTCAGTGACAAACTCGGAGGTACTGAATAAGAGCATAGTCATCTTTTTTGCACTAAATATGAGCTCTTTTGCTTAAAGCCATTCTCATTTGTTCGTCATCAAACACCTGACAACTGCTGTGTGTGCATCCTGTCGCAAAATGTAGCGAGTAGTACTACAAAACGATAATAGTTTAAGGTGCTTACATGTCTGAACTGCAGTTCAATAATGCCACTAAATGTCTTAAATATTATTGTTGTTGATTATTACTTATATGATTATGACTTTAATTAGGAGTCCACCAAGTAAACAGCTATTTTTAGATTACCTTAATCCGACTAGAGTATTGTCTTAATTGTATTAAAATCAGAGTAATGGTGTCCATGTAAATCAGGGGTGTCCAAACTCGGTCCTAGAGGGTCAATATCCTGGAGAGTTTAGCTCCAACCCTAATCAAACACACCTGAACCAGCGAATCAAGCTCTTACTAGATATTAAAAACTTCCTGGCACGTGTGTTGAAGCAAGTTGAAGCTAAACTCTGCAGGACACCGGGACTCCAGGACCGAGTTTGGACACCCCTGATGTAAATGTACTCACTATTACTATTGTGGTGAACAATGAATTCTTGCAAGTTAATCCACTGAATTAAAAGGTAAATTTCGGAAATTTACAATCAAACTTGAGACCATTTGCTTCTTTGGAGTGGTGATACTTCTGTGATGATGTCAGTTCGACGGCTTAAGCCGCAATGTTATTATCCACCCCCTTCTTACTGTTAGTTTGCTACAAGGCAATGATGCGCAAGAAAGCCCCGCCCCCTACTCAGTATTCAATTTCAGTTGGAAGTGCATCAACATACTGAAATTAGTCTCAGCAACTTCCAGTTCACACAGACTTTAAAGTTGACAGATATAATATATAGTATTACCATCTTGCTTCTATACGATATTCTTGACTAGATGATGCTCTTAAAAAAAATAAATAAATAAAAAATGTAACATTTGTAGAATTGAATATTAAGACATTTCACAGTTTCAAACTTGTTTACTTAGTCCTACTAGGGTTGGGCGATGTCGACCAATTTGGCATCGTACGATGTCTAATATGAAACATCGCGATGGACAATGGCATCGTCGTCATAGGCGGAGGTGAATTAATAATTAATGAATTAATTATTTGTAGCCTACCGTTTCAACAACATGACCTGCATGGTGTCTGTTTTGCCCATAAACAAATCATAAATAAATAAAGTTACACACAAATTACCACCTGTCAATCACTTTTTCCGCACGACTCTGGCGTGAAAAGGTAGAGTGATCTGTGTCGTTTAATGGTGTCGACAAACTTGG